ATCTGTTCACTCAATGAGAAAAACTTGATCCAAACACACTTACATCGCTGGAAAAAAAAGTGAGTTCAAAATAAAGTTTACAAAACAATCTTCAGAACTCAAAAGTATTATGCTAGTATAGAGAGTAGAGTTTAACAATGGTTATCAGGAACAGGAGGGAAGGGGAAAGAGGGAAATTTTTGTTTAGATAGCATTGTATTTCTGTTAATGGGGATGGATATTGTCTTAGGCTGGGCTTTCCAGAGAAGCAAAACTAGTGAAGCGTATATGTATGGGGGCTGGGTGGGGATTTATATCAAGGAAATGGCTCACGTGGTTGTAAAGGCTGGAAAGTCCCAAGTCCGTGGGTCAGGCTGGAGGCTTCTCCTGACTCATGGTAGCTGCAGGGCTGATGAACCCAAGATTGACAGGTCAGATAGAAGGTCTCTGGCTTACAGGCTGTGGAGGTCTACAAATTCCCAAGATCAGCAGGAAAGTGGGCAGGCTGCTGTCTCAAGTCCCAAGAACTGAAGTTCAGAGGGATGACTAGCCGAATGCAGGATCCATAGCAGAGCAAAAGCCAGTGAGCTGTGGCAGAAAGTCCATATATGTTGGATGCAGGCCATACTCCTCCCCCCAGGAAATTCCCTTTCAAATGATAGGCTGTTCATAGCAGATCTCATTACGGAGGAGATTACATCATTACATAACTGCCAAACTACATCATAACAGCAAAACCACAGGCATTTATTTTCTTTAAATCAACTTAATTCTGAGCTTCTTCAATAGTGATGTTTGAACAAACAAACAAAAAAACCCGTTGCTGTCATGTCGATTCCAATTCATGACAACCTCATGTGATAGAGTAGGACTGCTCCATAGGGTTTTCTTAGCTGTAATCTTCATGGAAGAAGATCCCCCAGGCCTCCCACTGTGCTGTTAGGTGGGTTCAAACTGCCAACACTTAGGTTAGTAGTTGAGGGCAAACCGTTTGCCCTACCCAGGGACATGGTGATATTCAGGCTTCCATAAAAGAGAAAGACAGCTTTGCACTTTAGGATTTCTTCAGCTTTCTAGATGACTGAAATCTGAGGCAAGAAATCAGTGTCTGACATCAGACTTACATGTGTGTTAGGAAGGGGGGTGTCTGGGGAAGAGATGGGTGAGATATTAACATGAGACAAAAACACAGAAATTTATCTTTTAAGAAGTTATGCTTCCACGTTTATGACTCCTCTCCCCATAGACTGTAAACTTCTTGGGGGTGAGGGTTGCTGTCCACCATTGTATCCTCACATCAATCCCAGGGAGCAGTAAAGGCATTTGTGTAATAATTAGTGCTTATCAGATACACTCCATTCTTCTTTTACTTATAAAGGAAATCAGGCCAATGGTTCTCAACTGAGATTTCTCAGAATCTTGTAGGGCAGCATCCCTCCCCCCAAAATACCACTGTAGTAACACCTTCCCCCAAGCACAGACAGATTGTACCCTTGAATTATGAATCAGAACTTCCCAGAGTGAGACCGGGATATGTGCATTGTGGAAAATCTCTCCAGGCAATTCTGAGAGGCAAGTCAATGGGTTCTGACTTCTAACTGCCTAGGGAGAGTCCCTACTTGGCTGGGGCCTGAGCTAGGAGATCACAAGACTGATGAGCCAGGATTGGTACAGTTAGGGCTGCCCCCAAGCAAGGCCTGGTCAGCTATGGGGTGAAACACAGTGTTCAAGAGGACAAGTCAAGGGTCTCCAGGGCCAGGTGGACTGCAAGCACTCTGTCTCCCAGAGACAGTACTGGGGGCCTTGTCACCACCATTTTAAACTTGTAAGGTTGATAGAATGATTTAAGATGGCTCTGAGGAAACAGAGGAAGCAGTGAGACAGGCAGGGTGTAGTCAAAGGGGACCATGTAGCCCCTCTCCTTCAGCCTAAGTGGTAGAAGTCAGGTACACTTACTCAGCCCTTAGTGAGAACCTGGCTGCTCCTCCTCAAAGGCCTGAGAAAGCAGCTCAGCCTGAGTCTGTGGGTTTTTTGACCTCACAGCCCGAAGGTGCTGCCCCTATAGAAAGCAACTTGAGTTTGGAAAAGCAGCAGAGTGGTTCAGCTAAGGATCTCAGAAAGACCATCTGCCAGGGTGTGAGGCCCCACGGTACATGTACATGAGCCAGGCCCTGGTCACATCACAGCATTTCACCAACACGTGCCCTTGTTTTTCAAAGGCAGAATTCCTGGGTGGCACAAATACTTAACACGCTAGGCTGCTAACCAAAACGTTGGAGGTTTGAGTCCACCCAGAGGCACTTTGGAAGAAAGTCCTGGTGATCTACTTTCAAAATATCAGTCATTGAAAACCCTATAGAGCACAGTTCTACTCTGACACACATAAGCTCACCATGAGTCAGAGTCCACAGCAACTGACTTTTTCAAGGGCAAGACATCACATTCCTTTTGATTTCAGAAACAACTAAAATTAGTGAAGAAACACAATAAATGTTTGGTGAATGAATGAACAATAAGTGAATATATAAGTAATCTAAGCTCAGTGGGTTTGGTTTTTCGTTTTGGGCCATCACACCTGGCAATTTATAAACGCACCGGCTTGTGGTGTTTGAGTCTTTTCTACATCTGTAAAATGGGTATGATATTATTAGCCTTACCTCTTTGGGCACTAGTGAGGGTCAAGTAAGATAGTTAATACAAAGTACCTAGCATTGTAGCTGTCAGTATATGGCATAAAAACTATCTGCTACAAGGAAATTCTAGTTTGATTTTCAAGGAAACAAGAGCCACAAAGTGCCTGGAGCATTTTTAGGGCCTCAGTATTTGAAAGAATGCCCTTCTGGCATTATCTGGCCCCTTCCTCCCATAACTCATCCACCTGGTTATTCATTCCTCAATATTTATTCAATAATTGTAGACCTTGCCCAAGGTCACACAGATGAATCTCTTAGAGCTTGCCCAAAACCTCATGGAAACTTTGCCGATTCCCATAACCCAGCAGGCACAGGACTTTAAAATATGTATCTTGTTGTTGTTGTTGTTAGGGGCCGTCAAGTTGTTTTCAAGTCATAGCAACCCCATGTGACAGAGTAGAACTGTCCCATAGGGTTTTCTAGGCTGTAATCTTTATGGAGCCCTGGTGGTGCAGTGGTTAAAGAGCTTGGCTGCTAACCAAAAGGTTGGCAGTTCAAACCCACCAGCTGCTCCCTGGAAACTCTATGGGGCAGTTCTACTCCATCCTATAGGATAAGTATGAGTCAGAATCGACTCGACAGCAATGGATTTGGTTTTTGGTTTTAATCTTTATGGAAGCAGATGGCTTCAAATCACCAACACTCTGGTTGGTAGCACTTAACCATGAGCAACACTAGGCCTTCTTAAATATGTGCACATCCTGTTTTAAAGTGGTCTTTTAATTTCCTTGGTAGAGAGCCTGAAAAGACTGACCTGATTTGGGGGCAAGAACTGTGTCTGTCAAGGCCACTGCTGTGTCCCCAGCACCCAACACACCCACCACCACCACGAGTTGCCATCAAGTCTGAATCATGGAGATCCCATGGATGTCAGAGTAGAACTGTGCTCCATAGGGTTTTCAGTGGCTGCTTTTTTGGATGTAGATCACCAGGTCTTTCTTCTGAGGCACCTCTGGGTGGACTTGAACCTCCAACCTTTCAGTTAGCGGCTGAGCATGTTAAGTCTTTGCACCACCAAGGGACTCCACCCAACACCTAAGGAGAACTAAAACATGTTCAGAACTTGAGGATTCCTGGCTGAAGTGTGGACTTCAGTGTTTACACCCGTCATTGGGCAAGGCTCCTTGATCAAAACACTCTGCCCTGTCACCGTTGTCTACAAATACTAACTTTGAATGTCATTTCAAAAGGGAGGTACTAAATTGCTGACTCCCTCCTATTTTCACAGCTAGGGTTGGAAAAGCATAAGGAATGAAGAAAGACTAATTTGGGAGTGTGATGGTTAAGGTTACGAGTCATCTTGGCTAGGCCATGATTCTCAGTGGTTTGGCAGATAGTATGTAATCACCCTCCATTTTGTGATATGATGTGAGCAGCCTATCAGTTGAAAGGGGAGTTTCCTTGGGGGTGTGGCCTGCATCCAATATAAATGGATGTTCTGGCAAAGCTTGTCTTCTCTTGATCCTGCTCGACTCATGCTCTGACCTCTGGTTCTTGGGGCATGAGCCAGCAGCCTGCCATCCGACCTGCTGATTTTAGGTTTGTAAGCCCCTGCAACCATGTAAGTCAGGAGAAGCCTCCAGCCTGACACCCAGATTTGGGACTTGCCAGCTACATGAGCCATTTCCTTGAAATAAATCTCTCTCTATATATTTATATCTATACACTTTACTGGTTTTGCTCCTTTAGAGAACCCAGCCTAACACAGGGAATAAGGGCTACTTTTGGAGTGTAGCAGTAGGGGCGCTCTGGAAAAAAGTCAACCCAGTGAGAGCACTCCAGGTCACAACCCTGGCTGCCTGAAGGAAATGTTTAAGTGCTTCCTTAAAACCTTATATATGTTCTCATTCAGTGCCCTTGCCTGTAGAGATGAAGATACTGAATTTCAGAAGAGACATAACTTCCTCAACTTTTGGCAACCAGTTAATGGCAACGTAGTTGTAGAAGGTCTACTGAGTTACTTGGGAACTTAAAAGAGGCTAGAAGGGGGATGCTAGGGGGCGGGAGAGTGAAAGAAACCCAAAACAAACTATGTCTTCCTGTAATTCTGCCTGGGCCCTGTTATGTCATGCAATGTTTATATTAGAACTGCTGCCGTTGAAAGGAGCTAGGAGGAAAGGACATGGAAGGAGAGAAATAAAAACGGACACGGGCTTATTATTTCCCAAACGCGGGCACCAGATCATCTGTATCGGGATGGCCTGTTTAGAGGAAGATAAAAGAAGTGGACTGTCAAGACCGAAGTGGTACAGCCTGATGCAGGGACCAAAAATGTCAATTACAGACTCTTCTTCCCCCCAAGGAAGGACCAGAGGTGAACTTCATCAATGTATTTCAACCAGGTATTTTATTGGTCTGGCAACTGTAAAATATACAAATTTCTGAAAGGCATTCCCTGTTTGAAACTTAGCATAGCTTCATCGCAGGTAATTAATTCAGACAAATATACAGAACATAGATAAGTCATAAGTCACACATAAAAGGCCCCCAAACTAATTAACAGCTAAACCCAATCTATATACAGCTTTCTATTTCCAGGCCCCCTTATACATATTAAATAAATAAATAGCACATCTGCTATCAAAATAATAAAAAAATAAATTTCAAGTATTACAAATGAAAAACATCATTGGTGTGGTTCAGTTTTTCTTCTCCTCCCAAATGAAGAGATTTGCCCAAGGTTATACTCTCAGGACAGAATGAGGAGGGGGAAACTCATCCAAAAGCAAATATGCAAAGTTAAGAAGATTGGTCTCAGGTTTTTGTTTTGTGGGGTGGGGTGAGAGTGGGGAGGGGAATGAGAATCAGCCCTCTCAGCAGAAACTCCGTGACTATAGCTCAAACACACCCTCCATCAAATGCCTCCTCAAAGGTCACATCACTGGCTGTCAAGTTAAGCAGCATTCTACTTCTCTCCAACATGTCCCCTCCCCATGCATGCACATTCATGTTCTATCCCTTCCCATCTCGGCCAGCCCTTACCAAATTAAAGTTCTCTGTTAGGCAAAGACTTATTTACTTGTGTATTTATTTTAAGTACTCAGAGAGGAGGGGGAAATCCACCCTCTCAAAGCCCCTACTTATATATGACTGAAAAGTCTATATTCAAAGAGTCTGCTCTGACAGCTAGAACAAAACGAGGCTATTCTTGCCAGAAAGTGGGCATAAGAAAACCATTCTCAAGAGCAAAGTTGCAGGCCCTTCATGTCTAAAAATATGACCAACTGCGCACACACACACACACTCTCTCTCTCTCACACACAGTGTCTGACAATACTCAAGACAGTGTGAAAGGGGGATAAGAATCCAAGTCTTAAGTCGTACAGGAATGTATATATAGATATCCTCTCAGGCAGATGGCCAATTAAATTGGGGAGAGGGTAAAGAATAATTGGAATGGTCTGGTGTGAAAACCACTCGTAAGGTATCTGAAGCATGTTCCTCTTTCCCTTGATCCCAACCAGGGAAAGTGCATTCATTCTTTTAAGAGCTCCTCTCTACTCCCAACTTTAGGTATCTAACACCCAGTAACCGTTCCCTTGAGCTACGAGGGGAAGGGATGTAAGGGCTCAACAGCAGAAGACAGGAAAGAAAAGTGACCTCTGGCACCAGTTTCCAGAGATCCTTAAAAGGGTCGTTTGGACAAACTCTACCGCTGAGTTTGCAAGTTGTTTCTTCTGGGCCTTGAGACACCCCTCTGCCCTAGTACGTGCAGGCAACAAGGAAAAGCCAATAGGCAGAAGCGAAAATTATTTAGGATCACATGTCCCATAAGCCCTGCTTCCATCCTTCCCTCCCCTCCACCCCGCAATATCACAGGTGCCAGGAAGGCAGAGCAAGCACTACATTTTACTCTTCTGAGTTCCCCATGGTACCCAGCACAGCGATAGGCAGGCATACAGCAGATGCATGACAAAAACCTATGGAACTGAGCTGACTCCTGGTAGATCACAGACAGCCTTGTGGAGGAAGCAGCATCTACCGAGGCCTTGTGTAGAGGGTAAGCAAAGTCCTGAAGAGAAGCAGCCAGATCCTTGTGCTTCTCCATGCCGGCTTCCAGAGGCAGTCTTGCAACCATCTGAAGACTCGATCCCTAGTCAATTTACTGGGGTCTCTCTGAGGTTCCCCATCTCATGGGCATGCCCAATCCCCCATTCTTTCAGAGGTTCAAAGCCCCCAAGGGTATATAACCCAAACCCAAAGTTCCTTAAAGTGCATCTTTCTCATCCACGTCTTCCATAACAAAGTGCAAAAGCAAGCAGTTCCAGGAGAGTGATGCTCTCGGGTGCCTCCGAATGCAGGCAGGAAACAAGCAGCTCCCTGCGAGAGCAGGGACCGAGTTAGCATGTTTCAGCAAGCAGTTCATTTGTCCTTTAACATCTTCTTCAGAGGCAGAACACAGACCTGGGAGGTATGTGGCCATGCAGGAGAGTCACTTGTCTCACTGCTTAGCTGACAAGCAAGTCTCAGCTCAGGGATCTCTCTGGAAAAAAGTATTCATCTCTCCATATCTCAGCCTGGCTTCCATGGCCCCAAATCACCATATGCCCAAGTCCATTCTCCATAAGGCTTTATCCCAGGCCACGAGGCTCCCAAGAGCCATGCAAAAGTTTTTAGATAGCCCTTAAACTTCAGCAACTAGTGTCTAGCTCTCCCCTAGTTTTTGGATTCTGCTGCCAGTGTCCTCTCACCAGCTGTGAACATGCCAGGCCAAGATAAAACAAAGCAAAACAGAACAGAACAGAGGCAGCCGATGTTCCCTCCTCAGGGCCTTCTCGCATCTGATCTGCCAGTCACTCATCCTCCTCTCCATACCACCTGGAAGTCTCTGAGGCCAGACACCCCTGGAAGACTGGAGGGGGCAGAGGACAGGGTGGTCTGTAGAACAACACAGGGAGCGGTGGGTTCCACACACAGGAAAGGCCTTCGAGTGCCTCGGCCCCCACATGCTGCTGGAGGTGTGGGTTCTCTCCCAGCTGCAGACCCCCTTTCCATGGCCCCCGCCCAGTCACAGAAGTCCCTGGAATCGCTGTGGCCTCAGGCTGACAGAGGAGCACAACCTAAGCTTCAGAAAAGGAAATGGGATGGAACTGGATTCGTCTCTTCAGTGTCCTCTGGAGGAGGTGTCCGTGCCACTCTGGGAGGCTTTCATGTTCTGTTTTGAGGAGAAAAGAGGGGAAGGGACAGGGAATTATTATTTACTGTCAATTATGTCTCTCCAGCAAAAAAAGACTCAAAGCCAAAGAACCCCAAACAAGAACACAACCCCAGAAAAGCATCATCAAACAGGCTAAGTGAGCCCAGGGGAGGTCCCAGGAACATGATGTAAGATAACCCATCAGAGTCACACCAGGAGAAGGGGGCTGAGCACAGGTTAGGAACGCTCTTAGCAGAGAAGCTTATCATCTGCCTGTAGGAGGTGAGGGAGCCAGGTGGGGGAATGCCACCTGGCTCCAAACCAGCAGCTGTTCTGGGAATGGTGAGCTGGCAGGAGTTGGGTGCTGGTACCTAAGGGAACTTCACCCTCCAAGTCCATTAGAAATCCATGGCTGCTCTCTACCCCACACAGTGAACTCAGAGGATGAGCAGGGGCCTTCTCTATAAGTGTTAGCATTCTCCTCCCAAATCAGCTAAAAGCAGAGCCACACATCCCCAGCTCTTGGGATCCAAATTTTATGAATGCCAGCCTGGCAAACAAGAACATCCTGATAACTAGGCTGGGTGAACACAGCAGGGGAAGGCCCAGTCAAGGTGAGTGGGGTCTGAGGAGCCACAGCAGAGAAGGCAGGTATCACGAAAGCTCCTATTCTAGTTCTAATAAAAGCGCTCTGAATAGGAAGCCCTACCCCTAAGAAACTGGCCAGAATCAAACTTTCTTACTAGAAAAATTAGATCAGCTGGGGACAGATGATCGCTCCCACTGCACAGCAGAGAACTCTTTACCGAACCTCTGTAATCTAACCCGCCAGAAAAGAAACACACACAGGTTTTAGAAGTATTCTCTAAGATCCTGAGTGTCTCTTTTAAAGACTCTTTTAAAGGGAGTGGGAAGGCAAACAGATATACAAGGATCACCATGGTCCACTCCTACGCCCAGCAGAACTGAGGGCCCAAGGCTGGAGAACTCTCTAGATAAGAGAATCTCAGGGCTGGGGCAGCACTGAAGCCAACCCGGATCTGAGCCTGCTTTTGCAGACTCAGGAACTCAGGTGACCTGGTCCTCAAACCACCACAGTTAGAAACTCTCTGTGAGTGGGTGGGTCTCCTGGAGGGTACCCTGAATCCTCCCATCTAGAGAGAACCACAACCACCTTCGGGAACTGGAGAGCGAGCTGTGCTGTTTCCCTCCACAGCTGCTGGCTCAGCCTACCCTCGGACAACACCAGCTGGGGCACACAGCTTCCGACACCAGCAAATGATGGCAATACAACAATGACAGCAAAGGACCACAAGGTATGGGCTATGTCCACAGCACTCACTCAAGGTGCCCCTGGCTCAGGACACATGGATGGGGAGGACAGACAGACTGGAAAGAGGGAAAGATATAGAGGACCTCAAGACAATAGTGCTGCTCTAAAAAGAACTCTCCAGCACTGAGACATATGAGTCACATACTTCACGATGGCTGGTCTTCACACAGAGCAAGATGCCTGAGGCTGAGAGGCCAGGACTCAGAGATGCAGTGAGGACAAAGGAGGGGCATGCACCGAGTCATTTACCTTTCCAAGGGTTAGTAAGGAGAAAACTTTGAGAAAATGTGACAGACAGTTCGTCTTTCAAGCATAGTGGGGAAAAGGAAAAAAGAGGTTAAAAAAGAAAAAAACATCTTTAGTAGTACTTTCTTTTTAGTGTGCATTTATTTGAAATTTAAAAATAAAGGGTGCATCGTGAATGCCAGAAAGTCTCTGGATCCCTGATCAGCCAGTGCAGCCCCGGGAGAGGACTGCAGTGCCCTCTGTCCTGGGCTGTCATTCCCATTTTACTGGGAAGCCAAGATTACAGGCAGGTATCCTCAGGATATGGATAGTCAGGCCACAACCCTTGTGACCCCAGGGGCTGTCCCTGCTCCCACGTCTTTGGGTGCTAATGCTGTTCGCGAGAAGGAAACCCACTGGCTTGGTGTAGAGGCACAGGAGAGCATCAAAATGCAGAGTGGTGTGGCTTAAACCCAGAGACACCTGGATGTGTCTACTGAGTCACAGGACACCAAGTCTCTCACCCAAAAATCACAGCAGCTATTGGCTGTCAGGCACTAACTGTGTGCCAGACACTGGGCTGAGTGCTATACCTACGTTCTCATTATCACACCGCCTTATAAAGTTATTACCTCCATGTTGTAAGTGAGGAAACTGAGGTCTAGAATTGCATTAACTTGCCCCAGAGCTCCAAAGATAGAGGGTAGTAAAATCAATATTCAAAGCCGGCTCAGTCTGACTTTAATGATTTTGTTCCTGGTGCCCAGGATAGTTCCCACAATCAGCTGTGTCTACAGTCCCAATGGTGAGTGTCTCTGTGAGCATCACACTGCCAGGCTGGGCTAGACATGGGACTCCAGAGTAGAGTCAGGAGGGACAGGTCCATAGAGTGTGTTTTTGTTGAGCTGGAGGGATTCTAGCCAACGGCACTATTAATCTTGGAGATAGGCAAGTTCAACTTTAGAACAGTTGGCGATATACTGCAGATGGCACCCTCCTAGTAGGAAGATTCCTTCCCTGGCAACATCAGGCCACGGTCACAGGGACAGGTTATGCATAGTTGCAAAGCCAAAGGGTCTGAATCCAGTTTTCATACAAAGTGAACTCTTGATTCTAAAGTATTCCATGTATAAATCCTAGCTCCAAGGGAATAACAGAGATAATGGACTGTGAAGATCGCCTACTCTGTAAAGACAGAAATTAATGGAGAAAGTCCACCATTAAGTAAACAAACACAGTCATGGGAAGCAGCTGAAAGGAAGCAGGTGCAGGAGAGAGGAGGCAAGTCAAACAGGTCCGGGCCAGTGCCCCATGGGCTGCAAACATCAGGTGCCTCTGGAGAGAGGTATGTAAATAGTACCTTGACTGCTCCCAGAAACTGGCAGAGAGAAAGAAGCCGGCTTTCAGAATTAGGAGACTCGTTTAAGTCCTGGTTCTGCTACTTACTAGCTGAATGATTGTCAGCAAGTTACTTAACCTCAGTCCTCATCTATGAAATGGAGATAGTAACCGCCCTGCCTACCTCATAAAGTTATTTTAAGGACCAAAGATACTGGATGTGTGCAAGCACATTCTCTGTGAGCTGTAAAGCACCACAAAATAGAGAGCAGCATGTGGTACTGCCACTGGAATCCCTGGGTGGTACAAACACTCAGCCGCTATCTGAAAGGTTAGACGTTCAAGTCCACCCAGAGGAGCCTCAGAAGAAAGGCCTGGCAATCTACTTCCAAAAAATCAGCCCCCGAAAATCCTCTGGAGCACAGTTCTACTCTGACACTCACAGGGTCACCGTGAGTTGGAATTGACTTCATGGCAACAGTTTTTTTGATGGTACTAACAAAATCTAAGTATGATGCTAAAAAAAAAAATTCCCATTTTCCAAAAACAAGTACTCTTCTAAGCTTATCAGGCTGAACTCTTCAAACCTTTTCAGTTTCAGCATAAATCAGTCAAGGTGACCTAATGAGCAAAAAGGGAACAACGGGATAAGAATGACTTGGGAGTGGGGTAGGGTAAGGTGATGGTTTATGATGGCTGTTATTAAAACTCTGTCATATGAACGCCTTGGTGCCTTCTGTGGTTGAGGATCACCGGAGCAATGAAAACAGTGACTTATCCAGTGGCTGCTACAACTAGTGCTTCTCCAGAAACTTTCTGCCACAGAGCTCCGGCTGAAGGAAAAGGGGACGCCAAATGGGTCTATTTGAAACCTGCACCCAATCCTGGACATGATCATTAAGGTTGAACAGATTCAGATACAGGTCAACCCAATCCAGAAGAATGGTTTCCACACCGAACCTTCCAGTGCATGGAGGGCTCCTTGGAGCCTTCTGGGGGTCACCACCAGGACAGGGAGGGAGAGGCTGCAGGGCTCCAGGCCTACAATATACTCCCCACCTGAGTACTTCCTAGGATATTTGTTTTGAAGATTAGGCTCTGGGTAAATTTCCCTTTTGAAGAAAGGGGCTCTACTAGGGGAAGGGAAGAGAGCTTAAAAGACAGTGGTAGCAGGCAGAGACCCAGCTTGAACCAAAATCTGACTCTAAGAGGGAAACACTGGATTTATGCCAAGCCACAGACCATTCCAATTACAAGCAGCAACAAGAACCCTGAGAGGGACTGAGGGGAAGCAATCTGTAGCAGTACCAGCATCAGAACACAGTGAAAAACAGGTGGGCCACAGTTACTTCTCGTATATCCTTTTCCAAGAAATTGGAGTCCTTGCCCCCTCCTCTCATCCCCATCTCCTCTTTCCCCCATGGAAGACTTCAAACTTCACAAGAACCATCATTAGCCTCAACATTTGAACAGGAAGGGGTCTAAATTGGCAAGCAAGAAGAAAGAGGTGCAAGCATAGCAAAGTTATTTGGAGAAAAATACTTACAAACAGGCTTTCCCTAGCAAAGGCTGCAGAGAGAAAACGTTGAGAGAGAAGTCAGTAGGGAGACAGGGCACGGGGGGCCAAGTCGTTTGAAACTAGAATGTGTTCTACTGGGACGATGCCCTGTCAAGCTTCCCACACCTGGCACAGCCAACAGGTTCCAGGCTGCTGAAGGACTGTCCTCTCAAAGTCATGAGGGGTGGGAATGGACTAGGACATCCGCCACTCTGTCCTATGACAGAGGTCAGTGGACTCTGGACATCAGCTAACTCCTGCCCAGCCTTGTCTCCCCCCAAGTATCTAAGACAATGGCCCCTAAACTTCCAAATATGACCCTACACTTAAACCAAAACGGAAAGTCATAGTTACACCATTTTTGTTCTTCTCAGTTTTCACAGGAAACATCCTCTGATTTTACACTGAAAAGAACTACTTATTAGCAATCTCCCAGTCCTAGCCCCTCATTTTAAAAGATAAGGAGCCTGAGGCCCAGGGAGGGAAGTAGCCTGACAACTCAAATTCTCATTAATCTTCATCACCTCACCCTTATGGAGCACTTAACTATGTGCCAAACGCATCATGTTAGACAGTTGGCATAAAGTACCCCCATTTGATCTGCCTTTTGCAGAAGCTACTACTCCCCCATTCCACAGATGAGAAATCTGGGGCCTAAGGAGGTTACACGACCTGACAGAGGTCACACAGTGGTCTCCTCCACATCACATTTCCAGACCGACGAAGCTTAAGTAAGCTGTAGGGGAACTCTAAGAAGAATTTGCAGGCTGAGAGAGAAAGCCTGGACAGGCAGCACTGACAGTAGCCTCGGCATCTCAGCATCCAGTAGTTCATGAATAAATCCAATTTGACATTTAGCATGTTCTTTGTAGGAGATCAGGCTTCGTGAGTGGAGGTGGGGGGGACTCTTGGGAGGTAACAAAATTTGTGCCCAGGGATTTCTACATCTCACATATTTGCAGAAGATTCTTGGCTGTCTTTGGTTTTGTGAAAACAAATCCTAACACCCAAAAGCCAAAATCTTCTAGCCTTTAATCTTCATAGCTAAAGAAGTAAGTGAGATCTGTTTGTTATTGGTTTTTGTTGTGCTTGTTTTTCCCTCCTATCTGCTGAAGTTAACTGTTATGTGAGAAAGTGGGCATTGCCTAGTTATCCGGCCCTGAGAGTCAGGCTGCAGGGTTCTAAACGGGCTGTGCTGGTTTCCAGGGAGAGGACAAACTTCATGGGCCCCTTCTGACTACAGCTTTTCTGTAATGGGGTGCAATCACAAGAGAGGAAGACAAGTAAAAATACTCAGGCATGGCCATGTGACAGAAAAGAAGTCCCCAGGCCATCCACAGAAGCAAAGGGGCCCAGGGCCGGAATGGAGAGACTTCTGAACTAGAGACTGCCTATAGATTTTGTTTTAGAGAAAACTATTCATGAATATGAGTGGCACTCAGACACTTCATCACTATTTCTTCTGCTCTGCCTGGTTCTGTTTCTCAGAAAGGAGAAGGTGCACACAACCAGTGTCAGCAAGGAAGGACTCCCACAGTGTTACAAACCTCAGAGGAACATTCTCATATTCTCTCCCTTTCCCCACATCCCCTACCCACTGTGCACACACACAACACACACACACACACACACAACACATGCACCACACATGCACACATACACACACACACACACACACAC